TATATTTGATATATATCTTCTAAAAGGTTAAATAAATCTTTCCGAAAAGATGCATAATATTTAAAATAAATGATTTTATACAAATTTTAACACAAAAATATATATATTAACTATTTTTATTTTTATTATTTATTTATTGCACGAAAGTTATTATAGAATGAACTCAATCATCAAATAGTCAAGAACTGCAAAAATATTCATCTTTTGGTTCACTTTCAGCTAATAAACGCCCACAGACTAGTTCTTAAAATAAAGGTGGACAGAATGCTAATAATGAAACGCTTTGTTTTTCTTTTAATTCATATAGATTTTACACGCAAAAATAGATACACAATATAAGTATAACTTCACAAAAATGCGACGTTTCATTTATTTATTTGTCAACTGATTTTTTAATAGACTTTGTTAGGAGAAACTTATTTGATGTCCCACGTATTATTTTGAAAACACATGTGGAAAAAAAAAACACATAAATATCCACTTCTGTGTTTTATATACTTACAAACACAAATTTTGTTATTGAACAATATCACATAATCTTACTTAATCCATTAATAAAATATTTCTTCTTAATTGCGTTTTAAAAATGCAATTTCTTCGAAAAAAAAAAAAACAAAAAAAAAAATATGTTGTCTATTTAAATTGATTTTTTTCTTTAATTGATTACTCTATAATTTATTATCTTATTAATCAAATATTCGTTGAATATTAAAAATACGCATATATAAATCATTCACGCACAACCGAAACGATTCGGATGTTGTCCGATTGAAGCTTGATAATATACTGAAACAGAATGTTCAAAACAAAAAATAATGAACGCTCTATGCGAAACAAATTCAAGTTTCACATTAAACTGTCTGTCAACAGTCCAACGTCATAAAAAAAAACAAGTAAGAGTGCTTTAGTCGGGAGAGCCTGACTAGCAGATACCTTGCATCCTCCTCAAAGATTACCTTGTGCAATATAATTATTAAACGCCAACTTAATCTCCCCGTGCTTAATTTCAAAATTTCATTCTTTAATGGGATGAGCGCAAACATATATACATACGGCTTTATGGCGACTTTCCACTCAACAAAAATATATACATACGTATATCATGGACCTACATTTGTAAGCCTGTTATTCATACATACGCGTAAGCATAACCAGTATACCTCTTATCCATTTTGTTTTTGGTATAAAAATACAAAAAATAAATAAATATAACAACAAAAACAAATATACACTTTATCTTTTTAATCGGCATTTACAAGGAATATATTTCAGAGGCAAAATGCAAGTATTGCAGAACCGAAAGTATCAAATGAATATACATATATGTATTTTGCAGTTTTTAGAAACTGTAAAGCATATGCAACAAATTTGCGTTAATGAAATAAATCGTTATAAACATTTTTTGATTTAATTATATATATTCTATAATATAGGCAGATTATAGGTAGATTTCGTAACTGTTATTAGTTTAAATACATAAATTAGCAATACTCGTAATTCTAACTATTGTTAATAATATACTTTATACAACTTACCAAATGCAGCAGGATAATGTTTAGAAATATTGGATTTCATGTAGAATACAAAACAATGTTGCACGCTTTTGCAATTGGAAACTTAACATTTTCATAAACTGATAACAAAAATAAAAAAAACAAGTAAGAAAGCTCTAGTCGAGACTGCTCGACTACGAGATCCCCTGAACCCTTGGAGCAATAGCTATTTCAATAATTTTTCGCGTCTTTCTACTTACACAAGAAACACGCACACACACACACACACGCGCACGCACACACAGGCATACATACACAAACACATACACACACAAGCATACACACGCATGGGCACAGTGTGCGCTTACTACAAGAACTTAATTGTTTAATAACTTTTTTTTTTGTGGACACATGATCTTCATGAAACTTTCAGATTATGATTATAACATGGATATGCATGTATTTGCCAAAGCACAAGTCTCTAGTATTTGAAATACGCTTTTTACAAATGTGAGGGTGAGGGGGTGAATATAGTGGTGGAGGGTAAATTTTAACAAAAACCGAAATTGCATAGGTTGCATATAAGCATACATTAAAAATTTGGAGACTCTAGCAATAAAGGTGTAGAAGATATAATTTTATAACTGGTTTTCGATAAGGTTTTTTATCGATNGGACAGACAGACAGACGGACAGGGCCAAATCAACTCAGCTCGTCGCCCTGATCAAGAATATATATACTTCGTGGGGTCTGCCACGCATCCTTCTGCCTGTTACATACATTTCAACAAAACCATTATACCCTGATTTCCCATTGAAAATGGGTTCAGGGTATAAAAAATAAAAAAAAAAAGACTTGTGAAAACGAAACCTCATCATTTTTTAAAATGATATATACATACCTATATCAGTGCCAATATACTACTAAACAGACCGGAAATAATGTTTGACTGGCTATTAACATATTAGAATTATGTAAATAATTAAATAAATTACAAATTTAATAATAATTATTTATTTAAAAGCGGTTTTTTTTTAAATAATAACAATTTATCAGTGTGCCCAAATAAAATAAATTTAGCTTTGTCAGTATTATTTAAAGAGACACAACTCTGCATACTTTTTTATTAAATACTATCACTGACCAGAGAACAGTGATACTATGAATACATAAAATACTAAACAGAATATCAATATTTGATATATTATATACTATCGTTATTAAAATTAAAATGGACCTGAAATAATATTTACAAATGTGTAAATTACAGTGCCAAATGAGTATTTCCTAAGATCAGTATTTAAATCATTTACAAATATTATTGTTTTCAGAAAGTTAGCTTTAAACACATCTTTAAACTCCTTAATAATATTTGTTGAAATTCTGATAATTCGACCATTATAGTAATTACTCTTTAATATTGCAGTATTTTTACTTCACAGAAGGCGATAGTCACTCATCGCTCTTAAATGCGTTAGTATCGTTCATTTCGATTCGATTTCATTTCGAACTGTTTACATGTAAACAAAATTGGATTTTTTGCAAATATTGTTGAACAAGAAAAATTATACGATATGGACCAGACTTTACCTGATGATGCCTGGAAAGACTCTTTTGATAGATTGTTGGATCCCCTACCGTATGTCGGACAACATTTATAAACTATAACTATAAATGTGTACCACTAATAAAGAAACCTTATATCCTATTTAGTAATCTACGAGAACTCAACTTAATAAAGAAGAATGTGCGAAAATCATTTAATATGGATTCCAGTGTAGAAAACTCCAATCCAAACATGTTGAGCGTCGATGACTGTTCCTTTCCAAACGCAAGAAATAACCTTACGAATGCTAGTGATAAATTAAGCGTAATAAATAAATTCGGCAACTCCATCTCAACTCCTTTTGCGAAACGCTTTCCCGATAATCTGTTTGATTGTGCGCTATCGCCGATAGGTGGTATGAAACTAGATGGATTCCTTCCTAAAGGTATTATTGGTAAAATTATAAAAGCTAACATAATAATAACGTACTTGAATTCTTTTATGTAAGATCTAGAAAAACTTGGACAACCACGGAAGCAAGTTTATTTTCGTGTGAATACAATCAGCCCTGAAACGTCTATCGATTCATCTTCGATGTCTCAATCTGAACCCACATTGAACGCACATCAGATATCAAGAAGACAGACTCGATCTTCACTTGTTCTGCAGCCTGGCAAATGGCGCAAGTCCTTACGTACCTGGTGTCGTACAAACCACAACGAAATATCTGGTCGCACCAGTCCAAAACAATGCTTCAAACCGCGAGATGTAAAGTCTGATGATTTAAGAGTTCTTCGGAGAAACTCACGAAAGTCGCAATACATAAATCGTATTTCAGAACATGATTTTCAGATAAACTTCGAAAAGGAAGTGTTAAAGTACTGCGGGCAATCAAAGCCGATTAAATTTAGTGCAGCTTATGCTGCTGCAAAAATGTTGAAAACTTGCAAGATTGGCGAAGGAGTTTACGGAGAAGTATTTAAATATACACCAAAGAATAAAATGGTATCTAGTGTAGTCTTAAAGGTGCTCCCGATCGAAGGTTCTAGTTTGGTCAACGAGGAAGCTCAAAAGACTTTTGAACAAATATTGCCTGAAATTATAATTTCTAAAGAGATGAGCGCACTACGAACAAATCAAACTACCTCTACGAGTGGATTTGTGGATTTATACAACGTAACCCTTTCTATAGACCCAATATGAATAAGTTCAATAAATAATGTATTCAACACAGGTGAACTTGGTGAAAGGAAAATATCCAAAACATTTAATTAGACTCTGGGAAGATTATGACGAGGAAAAAGAATCTGAAAATGATAATCCTACGATGTTTACTGATAACCAGTTATTTATTGTTTTGGAGCTAAAATTTGCTGGCACAGATATGTCATCTTTTGCTTTCCAAAACGCTGAACAGGGTTATTTTGCATTGCTGCAGGTAAGGTTATATTATGCATCATATTTTAACCGTTCAGTGCAATGCAGTTCTGTTATTGTAAAATGAACTTAGCTTCTTTGGTATTGAAAATAAAATTTTTACTCTTTTATACGGTCCAAAGTTCCAAACAGGTCAATAAATTGAAAAAATTATTTTATATTTAGATTGACATTAAGTATAGTTATGGTTCCGCCCAATGCATCTAACTTGATCTTTCTTTTTATTGAATATAAACATTAGGTTACATTTACATTAGCTGTTGGAGAAGAAGCATTTCAATTTGAGCATAGAGACCTACATTGGGGAAACATACTCATTGAGAAAACGATGAAAAAGTTTATTGATTTTAAACTTGCCGGAAAACAGATTTCGGTGGCAACAAGAGGGATTCAAACTACCATTATTGATTACACATTGTCAAGAGTAACTGTTGCGGAATGCTGTCATTATAATGACCTCTCCCAAGATGACGATTTGTTTGCGGCCACCGGAGATTACCAATATGACATTTACCGCATGATGCGAGATGAACTAAAGTGCGTATAATTAATAGATATTGAGTGAAAAATTTGAATTAATTTTATTTTGTTTAAAGAAATAATTGGTCGGCGTACTCTCCAAAAACCAATGTGCAATGGTTGTCCTATGTTAACTCTAAACTGATAGATGGCGTGAAATATAAAAGTATTAACACAATGGCCCATAAATCTTATTTGAGAAAGCTTAAAGCCTTCAACAACATCGTCCTGAATTTTAACAGTGCAGGAGAATGCGGTCAATATTTATACAACATGAATTAGGCGAAAGCAAAATTTGTTTTATTTTACATTTATTTTATTGTATCTTAATATTAATTTTCTATATTTTGTAAGAACTTTTTATTTATTAGTATATTTTTTAAGTAAACGTGAAAGCTCTTCATATGGTAAGGGCGGCTAAGTTGTAGTGAGCTACAAAGCTTGTTTTAAGCTTTAACTCCCATTCTGTAAAACCATAAAGCTTTCAGATGGAATTCAGTTCCTGTTCATGGTACGAATCTACAACTATAATACAAAGTGAAGGATTTCCCACAGGCTGATGTGTTCTGTGGTGTGAATAGAAGAAAAAAAATACAATTTGAAACAAGCTAAATTAAGTATAATCGAAAAAGTACGTAGATTATTTTCGCCTTCAATTATTACAATTACTTAAAGAATCGAGATGCAAGTGAATGAAACCAATTCAAAAAATAAGAAAAACAAAGAAAAACTAAAAAATCGATATTGAATCATAATAATTTAAAATGCATTGCAATTATGGGAATGGGATATACATATGTGATATATACTATACTCACGAATACATTTATAAATACGCATATATATT